CACCCGTGGCAATTGGAAGATGTCGGGACTTCACCCCCCAGATTCCCCCAGCCAGCATTCGCTGGCTGGAGGATTCTGGGAGTTGAAGTCCAGACATCTTCAAGTTGCCAAGGTTGAGAAACACTGCTCTAAAAGGATGCAACTGACCAGCTGTCTGCAAAGAATATAAATCCTTCCATTCCCTACCGTCCTGTCAGAGCTGAAGAAGCTTCTTGGGTGAGAAGCGAATTGTCTTCAAAAGAAAAAGAAAGAAAGAAAGTCCAGTTGCCTCCTGAAAAAGCACCACTGGATGACCGATTTGGTAGATTTACTGTCCGCTTTTACTCAAGGAGTTAAGGCAGCTCGGCTTCCTTCGTTTTAGATTGCGTGCAGTCAGCCAGACTGGATTTGGCATTTATATCCAATTATTGAGACCTTCCCAAGGACATGAAACAGGCAGATATGGATATTTGATAGTATTTGAGGGATCACTGAAAAGTGTCAGCTGTTCTGAATAAAGCTGCCTTTTGCAATTGACTCATGGTAAATTTGTCAATGCTGATGGTGTTCAAGAGGTGCTCCAGTTGTTTTGGGATCGTACTCAAGGCACCTATTACTGTGGTCCTTTGCTCAGTCAGCCAGATGTTCAGACTGGATTTGGCATTTTAGTCCACCCATTGAGTCCCTCCCAAGGATCTGGGATAGACATTATCATTATTATTATTTCTCCACAAAAAACAACAACCTTGTGAAGTAGGATGGGCTGAGAGTGACTGAGCCAAAGTCATTCAGGGAGATTCCATGGCTCAAATGTGGGTCTCTCCAGACCTAGTCTGATATTACAGTATGCTGATGTATATATTTGTTCTGTTTCTGATTATATTATGGGAAGTGTTTTCCTGTCACCCAAAATGAAAAAGGGCAGTTTCAGTAATCTATAACTCCAGTCACATCTGAAAGTTACTGCTCTGCTATAAAGTTGCACATTTCACTTCAATAGTATTTTAAAGGATCAAAAGTCCAGGAGTTCTTCAGTAGCATCAGAGAGTATTTGCAATAGTAGACACTACAAAAATTGAACATGTAGAATAGCTTAAACTATCTGACCCCAAATCTCACATGTATTATGCACTCCTAATCACATCAATTATCTTTCTTTTAGAATATATATTTATACATATATATTAGCCTTATTTCAAAATTTGACATATTTACAGTATTTGGGAATACGTTCTGTTAATTTTAATGTTTAAATTTAATCTTCATTAAGTTAGCTGCTATTTCAGTATAACAGCCTATCCCACAGATGATATTTGGAGAAATATCTCAGATACCTTTAGCAGTAATCCTTATTTGACAACAAACCCTTTAAATATTGAATACCACTGGGACACTCATCGGATGTATCCAGTGAAAAGGGATGACAGATACTTTTATTTTTCAGGTTTGTTTTGCTCTCCATTTAACAAAGCTCTATAGAACAAACGGAACAATATAAATGAACAAAACATACTCAAAAGTGTGCTCCCCCCCTCCCCCAAAAACTAAATGGAGATTTGTTGTCAAAATCAAATTCATTACTTTGGTATAAACTAGGGACTTCCAAATCTGGTGACTTTATGCCTTGTGGACTTCAACTCTCATAATTCCCCAATCAGCATGGCTGGCTGAGGAATTCTGGGAGTTGAAGACCATAAGTCTTAAAGTTGCCAAGTTTGGAGACCTCTGGTATAAACATTTAAAGACAAATGTAAAAATACTTTATCTCATCAAAGCATATGTTAATCATGGACTTCATTAGTGACTGGGAGCCCATTTACAGCTGCCAGAATACTTTCAACCATCCTTTCCATCATATGGCGGCGGGCTTGGGAAGTTGCAGATCCAATGTGGGGTGTTATGATGACATTCTTTAACTCCAATAAAGCATGACCTCTGAAGGAAAGGAAAGAGAAAAGTTGTCTGTTGTTGTTGTTTTTTTAAACTTGATGTGCCATGCTTAAGTAAAATGGAACTGGGCATTTATAGACAGTACTTTGGTCTTTCAAAGTTTTTAGAAAATAGAATCAGATTATTAATATTTTGCAGTTCTTAAAAATTCAAGCATCTCCTTACTTCTGCCTCTGGTGGCACACAAGCACAGTAATGGAGAATACACAGACCCTGTCCATTTTTCCCCCGAAGGGTTTATTATCCCATAAGCCACTTCGTAAGAGAATATTGGCAGGCAACATAACATGCAGCCAATCCATCTTACAGAAGTGTGCTCTGCACTGCAGGCATTGGGAGTTCTGAAGAGGAGAGTTGAGGACTGTAGCATTTATCAGTGGACTCAGCTTAGATGTTCCCACAATATAACTGATTGTGAAGAACTGGGACACAGATTTGGACAGGGATAAATATAATCCTTTCATGGCTAGTTGACTGGATCTGTTGACCCTTTTTTAGTGTCCTCACAACATGTTAACCCAGATGTAGGTACAATACTGTGTATACTATATGTACAATCAATCTTAACTACTGGGAAGACCAAGCTTAGGCAACTAAATGGGTGTATCTTGAATAAAGTTGAGCCATGGGGAGCCGGTCATTCTTAGCCCAGTCTTCTCATAGAACGATGGCTGTGGGAAAAATAGGAAGGAAGCTACACTGTCTTAAACTTCTGAATGCAAGGCAGACATAATTATATAAAAATAAATAATTGATCATTTAATTTTTATTTCAGTTCCCTGTGCTTTCCTGTGGCCAGCAAGACGAATCAGTCCTTCTAAGTCCTTAGATTTTGAGTTGCTCCACAGAAGGGGAAGCTAGTGTCCTAAGAATTTGTAAGACTTTCCTCTGGGGGCATATATCTCATTTGTCTTGGAACATTTAAAACTAACTTCTCAGTGTAAATAGGGAAATGGCGCCAAGGTGGCGCAGTGGTTAAGAGCAGCACTGCAGGCTACTGCTAGATCAGCAGGTCAGCGGTTCAAATCTC